CTCAAGAAAAGAGGCTAGTGAGATACTCCCAGAGACAGGGTAGGCTGTTTAAGTAGTTGAAGAACAGGGATGTCTAGCATGTAATTTTCGGTTGTTGACATTACTGCGGCGTAAACTCACTCTGTTATCTCAAACAGTAAAAGGGCCACATGTTTTGAGTGTGGGAGGATTGAAGGAAGGGCTAGTTTCCATTGGGAAATGGGTGTGGGGCAAAGAGAAGAAAATAGTCTGGGGAGATGAGAGGCCTGTACTACTCTTAATCGTGTTGTCACACTGCCCTCTAACGGGCTGTCAGTGTCTTGCCAGATCAAGGGCTGGCTTCTGAACCAGCGACCCATTTGCCGTCCACAGACAGTTTCCTGCACCGACTGCCAAAGTGTGTGAAGCTCGAGGCCTGGGGAGCAGCGCAGGCTCCTGATGAAAGCTGTTTACTTGATCATCTGTGAAATAGGGCAGTTTACAAAATAGGACAAAGAGGCTTTGCCATCGGACTTGTATTATTTTACAGTCACATTAGATTTGCACGTTGCACACTCTGATATGAAGGCATGGGTAACGGCAGTTTGGCCATGACATATGGTCACAATGTTGGCATAAAATAATATTAAGCACGTGCTGTAAAAAACAGTCTGAATTATCTTTTGCAAGGACTATTAAAATAATTTCCAGTTATTCATGCAATTCAAAATAAACTCCCTCTCCTAAGGGATCTTAAGTTAGAACAAAGCCAGCCTACTACTACCTAGCAGAGTGAGGCAGCTGTTCTGATGAGGTGGCCTCGGTACGTTCTGGCGGCATTTGATTGTAAATCATGGTTGCAATGGTACCAGTTCAGAGCTGCTTAAATCCTTGTTATTCCAGATTTTCCCCTAAGAGGGAAGGGAACCCCCAAGTCCAGTAGAGTGGTGCTATGTAACAAGCATTACACTGGGTAGTGGAGATGGGTCACTGAATAGATGTAGAGGAAATGAAAGTTCTTACGGCCAGGATTCTCACCTGACGCTGGCCTGCAAGCTCACTGCACACGGGTGGGCAATACGTCTTACTGACTCTATATAAAGAGCTCCGCCCAGTGCTCTTGGCTGCAGGAGAGCCTGGGACAGAGACTGAGACGGCTGCGGGGGCAGAGAGGCCCAGAGACAGAGACCTGCTTGCATGCGGACTTGCTCTGAGGTGGACGGGACCTGCCACTGTGGGAATAAAGCTGGGTATAAAGCTTTCACCCCAAGAACATTCCATTGTCTTCAGTTTCACTGAATCAAGAGTGAACTTGCCGGTGTTGAAACCCATTGGGAAGACAAGAGGACACCACCTCTGCCCTCACGGAGCTCACTGCTAAGGTGTAAAGGCAGGTTGATGTCATGTCCACAGTCCCCCCTCCCTTTAGCAGGCAGAGTGCCTGGCTAAGATCCCTTTGTCTCGTACGTATTTGATCAATGTGTTGAATAAATGATTGAATGAATGAAGAAATGAGGCAGTATATGTAGGGATTAAGAATTTGCCAAATAGCTTGTTTTGATCACGGCTCTGCGGTATACTGACTATGCAAATGCATCACTTAGACACCTGGAGCCTCCCCCAGGCACCCGCACGGTGCTTAGCACACTGCCTCACACACAGTAAGCCCTCAAACAAACGTTCAGTAATATTATGGGAAAAGGGCAACAAGGAAAAAAGGGGGTGATTAACTAGGGATTAGAATTCCTAGATTATGGGCTATATCTATCTATACCTGAAGAAGTATGAGACAATCGTTGGATTTAGGAAATTTTTTTTATGGTGAATAGGAGTCTATCTTATGTTTCCAAAGCCAGTTCATTCCATGTGGTAAGAAACATGATCTCTGGAGACAGTAACTCACATCCTTATAGTTCTGTAGCCGGAGACAGAAAATGCTCTGGTTAACCCAATTTTAAAAAATCCTCAGGGAGGTCCTCTAAATGGCCATGCTTGAGTCAGGTCCACCCCCAGACCAATAATTTTAGCCTTGTGTGGTAGGCAGAATAATGGCCCCTTGAACATAGCCATGCCCTCAGACAGTGACTACACTTTTCGTGGTGAGCACTTTAAAATGTATGTAATTGTCAAATCACTGTGTTGTACATCTGAAACCAATATAATGTTATATTATCAACAACTAAACTTCACTAAAAAAAAAAACTCAAGTTGTAAGAATCAAGATCAGGATAGAAGCCAACCATCTAAAGCTGTATTATTAAAATTAGCTTAAGGTGAACAAAGTAACTTAAAACATGCCTGTGCCCTAACTCCTGCAGCCTGTGAACTTTACAAAGCAGAGGGAACTTTGCAAATATGATTAAAGGTACGGACAGTCTTGGGCTGTCCAGACGGGCCCATCTAATCCTGGGCTCTTCAAAGCAGAGAACTTTTCCTGGCTGTGGTCAGGGAGAGAGGTGATGACAGAAGGGCCAGAGATGCTGGAAGGGGGTCAGGAGCTAGGATGTGAGCAGTTTCAGATCTGGAAAAGGCAAGGGGTGGTCTGGTCTGTAGAGGCCCCAGAAAGGAATGCAGAGCTCGGTCCGTCAGAGTAAATGGTTTTGTTTGTTTGTTGTTTGAAGCCACTAAGTTTTGAGTAACTTGTTATGGCTGCAATAGGAAACGCATGCACTAGGGAAATGGGGGAGCCCTAGTTTCAGTTCCCAGATTTGCTCAACCTCATCTACCCCAAGGGAGCTTGCTCAGTGAGGCCCCCTACAGCCTGTCGGTGGTCCACTGCCTGCACATCACCCACAGGACTGAACAGATTTCAGAGAATGAGGTACCTAAGCCTATAATGAGGCAGGGACGGCCAAAGAAGAGATTTTTTAAAAGCTTGGGAGACAGTCCCAGATAATGACTTACTGTGATTCCAGAGCAACTCACTGAGAGACATGTTATCCTATCACAGGTAAGAGTGTTCTGAACTTAAAATGTGAAAAACCCAGACTGGTGCTTTGTTGCACATACAGTATCCTGCCTTACGTTTTTTTTAAAAAAATGACTATTCTTTTTTCAAAGCCTCAAACATGTTTCTTTTCCTCTGTGCCTGATGAACTCGGTGCTCTCGAGTCTAGACAAGCACTGGACAGACCCGCTTAAACGTACCTGGTGGTGATAGGAGGACTTCTGAGCACTGGCCATATGATGGTTCTTGCTTCTCAAACAGAATTAGACGGTAGTCACTGCAGTTCCTGAAGCATGTGACTACAGGGCTCAGATGGTCCATCCCAAGAGCTTTTTATAATTTAAATGGAAATACATAATACTGTGCAACATTGATGATGTTTGTCTTTCTGGAATATGCTTGCTCTTTTAAATTTGTCATTAGCAAACAGGAAAACCTTATGTCTGGCAGTGCCACAAAGAAGGGGAACAGTCCTAGTTGTGTCATTTTGGCCCCAGGGCACCCTGCCCCTAGGAAGCAGTTACTGGTCCTGCTTTTGAAGTGTCCCCATGAGCCTACCCTCTCCCTTCATCCCCTTTTTCTTCTCAGAAAGCATACAGGCTCAGAGAAAAAAGCTCCATCAACACAGGGCTGAGAAGCAAAGTGGGTAATATCTATTACATAATATTATATTTGATAGAAAATAAAAGGAATTGGAATAAATCTCATCTGTTTTTAGAAGTTCTGAAATTTTTGTCTCACTTGGTGTCTGAAATTTATGTTTTTAAAAAGAAAAATAGGAGAGAAGGGAATGTGCATAAAACTTGCTAAGATGCCAAAACACCAGGTGGACCTTTATGTCTTGGCTTAGATACTATTTCATTCAAGTGTTACTGACTACCTACCGTGTATCCTCCTGAACAAATCAAGCAGGTTCCTCAGGGCCACTGTGTCTGGCTGTGCAGGTGAACGGTACCCACTGAAGGTGTGTAGTGCACAGCTGCCCCTACTGTAAGTGGTCCTTGCCCTCATGGAGATGAAATCGTGTGACTTTAGGAAGACTTGAACTTCTTCTCTTCCCCTTCAGACTAGAAAAAGTGCCCCATGATGCACCTGGTCATTGCACTTTGCCCTCATAAGCTCATTACAATCTGTTACTCAGAGTGGAATGAGATGGCAACTATCCTGTCACTTTCCAGGGGCTGGGGATGCATCAGTGAAGTGAGCAGTCAAAAATCCCTGGCCTCTAGGAGCTGATATGTTAACAAGAAAAGAGAAGAGAGCAAGTTCACTCTATAGCATGTCAGATGGCGATAAATGGCATGGAGAAAAATAAAGTGGGGAAGAGGACATTCTCCTCACCTACTTTAGGTCTTTGCTCAGATAGCACCTTTCTTTTACTTTGAGATAGGAAACCTTTGGAGGTTCGTTGTGGAGGGGAGATGATACGGTCTAAAAGGAAAAACAACATCCAGGAATAGAACAGCAGGCACACTTAGCAAAAACCCGGTAAGGTAGTTACAAATCTCCACTTCATCAGGACTCCGGCCACAGCGAATAAAGTTTTATACAGAGTATGTTGAACAAGGTCCCAGCCCTTCTCCTCTAAAACTCTGACACTCTTAAGGTTCTTTCTGAACCCGTTTTCACAAAAACACTGGAAAATCTGCGTGCTCTACCTGGGCTGATTTTGTATTTTGCACCATTAGCCCCGTCAACGTCTGCAACGTTTGCAACGTCTTCCAGAATCAGCCTGCAGACCTTCTGCACGTGGCTGGGCTGTCCGAGGGTCTAAGCTTTTCCAATCCGCGCATCCTCACAAGGAAATGACCTCTTGGATGGCGTGACTGCTCTGAGCTCAACACATTCGCAGGTGGCATTTGCACACCCATTAACGCCTCGGGGACAGGCATCACAGTTTCTCTCCTCTCCTGCTCCCGGGCCTCGCTCCCTGGGCTTTGACGAGCGCCCGGGTAACACCGCCGCCGAAGCGGCCGTCGTTCCGAGCTCGGGGCTGTCCGCGTCGCGCGGCGTTCCGTAGGCCTCGGGCCGCCTCCGCGGCGGAACTACCACTCCCGGCAGCCTCTGCTCCCCGCCTGCCCCGGGCGCGCGGCCTGCCGGGAGGGGCCGGTGGCGGCGGGCGGGGCCCAATGGGCGCCGGCTCCCGAGGAGAAGGCGGAGGGAGGCGGACTCCGGGCTCCGGCCCCATTCATCGCGCGGCAGGCCGGCGGGGGTCCCGCGTTCTCGGAGCCATGGAGGCGCTAATTCCTGTTATCAACAAGCTGCAGGACGTCTTCAACACCGTGGGCGCCGACATCATCCAGCTGCCGCAGATCGTCGTGGTGGGGACGCAGGTGAGAGGCGGGGGCGCGCCCGCCGGCTCCGGGGCGGCCTTCGAGGCCCGTCCGAGGCGGAGGAGGGTCCGAGCGGCCCCGGCCTCCCGTGCTCCCCGCGCTCGCCCGCCCGCCCGGGGCTGGGCTGCACCCGCGCGAGGGGCGGAGCCGGGGCGGCGGGCCCGCTGCTCTCGGGGGCGGGCTGGGGGCCGGGCGGCGGGCCTGGAGTCCGCGGGGGCCGGGCGCGGCCTCGCCCGCGGGCCGCCGCTTCCAAGGGCAGCCGGGGGACGCGCGGGCGGTGCGGGGCCGGCGGGTCGCGGTCGGTCTCGGCGCGGCGGGCTGTTCGCCTCCGTCCTCGCCGCGCCCGGGGCTGCGTAGGCGGTTTTGGGGCCGCGCGGTCGGGGCCGAGAAGGCCGCTCTGGGCAGCGCCCCCGGCGTGCCTTCCTGCGAGCAGTCCCCCCGGGTTTCGAGATTCCGAGGCAGTCAAAACAAAAGCAGAAACAACCAGACCCATTGAAAACAGACAAAAACCCCTCAGACCCCTGTCCTGGGGGTTGGGTAGGAATATCCAGTTTTCCTGCCTGGGCTGTGGTTTTTGTCCCCCCTGTAAATTGGGCATCAGGGTTCTGTGGTCTTAACGTGTTGAATCTGCTTAGAGATAACACAATTTTTTATATGCAGAAGTGTTGAAGAAATATTTATTTCTGAAGTGACAGAGAAGTATAAGTTTCATTTTCTCTCCCCACTGCTTTTCTTGGGTGAAGAGAAATCGTGGGACTTTATATTAAAGAGTTCAGAGAAAAGCATTTTAGAGATAACTTACTATATTGATTTTAAGTGCTTTCCTTTCTTAATCTTCTTAAGGGGACCGTTTCCTCATCATTTTCCATGAGGTGTTAACATGTTGCTACAAAATAAAAGTGTAGGGTATAAATACTATGAGAGGGAACTTAATGTTCAAAATACTGTGGAGTGCATACAAACACTGGAAACCTTTGAAACCAGACATTCCGTACATTTTCTTTTTCTTTTAAATAGGTGAAGCAGTAGAAATTATTTCAGGAACAAATGTCTTGGTCTGCCATAGATTGGTATAGATTCTGCTCAGTCCTGCCTTACACATATTGTGCTATTTAATATTTGTAATGAGTGAGACTCTGAACCACCAACCTAATGAATGATGAGCAGTATTTTTGTTGAGCGTATGTCATTCACTTATATGTTTCTACTCCTAGCCCCTGGAGTAGTCTGGGCTATGTAGTAGGTGCTGCATAAATATTTTGAATATTGCTTAGGGTAACTAGGTATTTTAAAACACTGGGACTTTTACCAGAACCTGTTTTTGTAAATAGAATGAGAGATGATATAAATTAAAATTCCTTAGTACTACTTGGGAATTGTTACGTAGCTGTAAACCAGAAATTTTCCATATGCTTTTAAGTGTACTTTTCCATATATTTTAAAGGGATACTCAATGCTTTTTAAGCTGGAAGCAGTAAAAGAATCAGGGCTATAGTGTGTCATCATAAATAGTTTAGAATCAAGAAGGATATTTCTTACAAAATGGCTTATTTCAGTGTGTAAAACTGGCAGAATTGGGAGGGACAGAGTAGAACAGTGACAGTCTTACCATGTGAATGCCATTAGCATGTGCTAGGATAAACCATGCTAGTAGTAGCAGTTACATGTAACTGTAGCCACATTTGTGTGTTGATGTTTGAAATTACTCCTAAAGGGAATTACTTAGTTTTAAGACTTGATTTAATAAAGGTTATCTTCATTCAGGTCTTTATTAGCTGTAATTCAATGTTTTATTGTTCAGGTACAGAAGAAGTAAGAATAGAAAGTTTCTCATATTTTCCTCAATATGTTGGAGAAAACCTCTTCTACTAGATTTGAATACAAGTGCACCTTTACTTTGTCATCTATGCCGTTTAACGTTGTGTAATGTCTAATGCACATGCTTCACAGTTACATTTAGTGGAGGAGTGTGTAGTGAGTTCCAGCGATAGTAAGTGTTCTGAAATCAGTTCTGACTTGTCAGCTTCTCGGTGGCAGTGATCATGTCTTCATAATATAGGTACAGTCTCTATTTTACACATTTCCTGTTCCTTACATGGCTGCAGGTCCCATTTTGCAGAGCATTTTAGAACAGAGATTCTCAAACTTAGTGTATATAAGAATCACTTAGAAAACAAGTTCCCTGGATTCCCTCCCCAGAGATTTTGATTTGATGAATTTAGGCTGGGCTAGCACCACAGGTGATTCGGATGCACATGGTTCATAGATCCTGATTTGAAAAGTAAACTAATGAGTCTTTGATTTTAAAATGCATGAAGCTGGAAAAAGCAGGAGGCTGAGTGTAAGGGCTTACCTCTGTTCTGTAGCAGGTTGATATTGGTGGCTTCTTGCTCCAAAACATCTCCTCCCAGGCAACCTCTGCTACCCGCTGAATGTTTTAAACTTTGATTTCTTAAATTGCCCACATAATCCTTATTTGGGGTCTAGAGACTTGGAGTCATTGAGGAGAGAGAATCATGTTTACAGCTGTGGATCACTCACAGTTTTTATGATTGAGCTAAATAAATTGCTTTCCTCTTTCTTTAGCTGAGATCTTCTGTGTGGAAAGAACAGAAAATGGGGAGAGAAGGTTGGTACTTTTAGACCACGGTGTACTTTGTAGGTGGAGGAGATAAAACTTACACAACATTTGTGACTCAACTTAGAAATTTTATAACACAGTTTCTTGAAAATTGGAAGGGGGAATCCCTTCAGGAATGTAACCCAAACCACTACCTAGTAGAAAAATTCCAGTGCAGATGACATTGACCTGAGACTCTGGCTCAGTGTTGCCAGTAATGTGCTTTTTGCTGTGCCTTCTTTTCCAGTGATTTCAGAATTCCACCTTCAGTAATTCATACAAAAAAAAAAAAAAAGGAAAATAAATCTTGAGTATTAAGTGACCAGGTTGTAGACCAGCTTATTTAACATTTAAAAAATTGAAATATGATACATGTAACATAAAATTTACCATTATAAGTGTACAATTCAGTGGTTACTATATTCACAAGGTTGCAGCCATTACCACTGTTAGCAGTCACTCCCCGTTTCACCCTAGCTTTTGGCAATCATTCATCGGCTTTCTGACGCCTCCTGGGCATTTCATATAAAAGGAATTATACATTATATGGCCTTTTGTGTCTGGCCTCTTGTGCTTAGCATGTTTTTTTTAGGTTCACATATGTTGTGACATATGTTAGTCCTTCATTACTTTTTATGGCTATATAATACACCATTGCACAGATATGTCACAGTTTGCTTATCCATTCATTAGTTGATGGACATTTGGATTATTACCACTTCAGGCTATGATGAATAATGCTGCTGTGAACATTCGTTTACAAGGTTTTGTGTGAACATGTTTTCAGTTGTCTGGTATATACCCTACTTGGTTATTTGGTAGCACTAAATACTTTGCGAAGAACTGCTACACTGTTTTCCACAGTTGGCTGCACCATTTTACATTCCCTCTGTCAGTGTATGAGGGTTTCAGTTTCTGTACACCCTTACCAACTCTTGTTACTGTCTTCTTAGAAAAAGTTCTAGGGATGAACCTGTATTTGTCTTGTGTTTGTAGACGTGATGGCTCTGTGACATTTAGTAATTTGGCACCAACTATTGATTATAGTTTTCATTCCTTCAGTGTTTTCTTCTGAGTGTTCTTAGGTAAACTTAGATTTTTCTCTTTCATTTTCTAATTTCTTTGTATAGGTCATGTGCTACTTCATTTTTTTATTCTAAGACTTAAATTGAGGTGAAATTAATATAATAAAATTAGCCATTTTAAAGTGAACAATCCAGTCACATTTAGTCCATTAATAATATGCAACCATTGTCTAGGTCCAAAACACTTTGATCCCTCCAAAAGAAACTCCATACCTATTAAGCTGTCACTTCTCCTTCCAGCAGTCCCTGGCAATGACCAGTCTTCTTTCTGTTTCTTTAAATTTACCTGTTTTGGGTATTTCTTAGAAATGGAATCATATAATATGTGACCATTTATGTCTGGCTTTTTTCACTTAGCATAACATGGTTCATTCATTGTTGTGTGCATAAGTACTTCATTCTTTTAATTTCTGACTTACATTCCATTATATGTATGTACCACATTTTGTTTATCATTCATCTGTTGATAATCTCTTGGGTTATTTCTGCCTTTTGGTGTAGAACGTTTGTGTGTAACTATTTTGAGTACCTGCTTCAGTTCTTTTGGCTATATAACTAGGGGTGGAATTACTGGATCATTGGTAATCTTATGTTTACCTTTTTGAAGGATCACCAAACTGTTTTCCACAGTGGCGGAGTCGTTTTGCATACCCACCAGCAAAGTAGGAGTTCTCCAATTTTTCTGTATCCTCACCAACACTTGTTATTTCCATAGCTTTTGTAGTGAGTGTGTGAGATGGTATTATATGTTTGACTAGCAGACCCTAATAACTAATGATATTGAACATTTTTTTATGTGCTTGTTGGGGTTATTTGTCTTTGTCTTTTTATTATTGAGTGCTAAGAGTCCTTTATATATGCTGGATATTAGGCCATTATCAATATAGGATTTATACATATTTCTCCCATTATGGTAGATTGTCTTTTCACTTTCTTGATAGTGTCCTTGTTGCACAAAAGTTTTTAATTTTGATGAAATCCAGTTTATTTGTTTGCTTGTTGCTTGCACTTTTGGTGTCACGTCTAAGACTTTGCCAAATGCAAGGTCGTGAAAATTTATTGTTTTATGTTTCCTTGTAAGAGTTTTGTAGTTTTAGCCCTTAGTTTAGGATTTTGATCTATTTTGAGTAAATTTCTATCTTTGGTATGAAGTAGAGGTCTAACCATATTCTTCCCAGGGGCTGTCCAGTCAATCCAGTACCATTTATTGAAGAGACTGTTTTTCCACCATTGAATGGTCTTGGCACTATTGTTGAAAATCAGTTGACTAAAGATGTATGGGTTTATTTCTGGTC